ACGGATCAGTTTTCAACCAATCAACGAGCTGCTTCAGTTTGGGCTTGTTAACTGATCCAAACGGATTATAGACTGGAGCCTTTTTGGAAGCAATGTTGGCCTTTTTGCTTCGACTTTGGCATTTTTGGTTTGGGTTCGGAATGATCACTTTGGCCTTGCTGTTTGCTGTATAAGGAGATTGTTGTGAGGCAGCAAGAGTCCTTTCTCGCACACTCTTGGCACGTTTAATTTGTTCCAAGCGGGCTTCCCTCTTTTGGTCATATCTTACTTGCTCCTTCACTCGATCTGATGCAGTGGGTTGGTGTTTTCCAAGATTTCGAAGCTTGGGTCTGGATCTGGAAGGCTGGATGGAAGCTTGGATGGAAGGCTCGGTTTTGGAGGGTTTTCCTGGCAAGGAACTATACTAAGCTCTTTCGAGGCAGTGGCACCTGCGGACAAATCCGTCGCTTCACCCCTCTTCGGCAAGCTCTTCTTCCCCTCGTTCGACCCATTAAAACTTTCACATTTCCCTTCAGTTTGATCCTTACTCTTTTTTTGTTCTTTTCTGGTGACACCAAGGATTTTCTCCACAGCTTCCACCCTTTCAGACAGATACTTGATCTCCGTAAGGCACGTCCCAAACCCTTGACTCAAGGCATCGAGTACATCCTTCAAAGAATCTTTCAAAGAATCCTTCACGATTCTTTCAATATCCTCTTTGGTCAACCCACCAACGTTTGGTCTGACCTCAGCCTCTTCCTCTGCAACTTCCTTCAAAGAATCTTTGAAAGAATCCTTCAAAGAATCCTTCACGATTCTTTCAATATCCTCTTTGGTCAACCCACCAACGTTCGGTTTGACCTCAGACTCTTCCTCTGCAACTTCCTCTGCATCTTCCTCTCGCTCTTCCTCTTCATCTACCAGCTCTATACGCTCTGTACGACCTTTCTTAAGAGGTCTTGGACTCTCTTTCTTCACCAGAACTATCGCTTTCTTCCTTTTCTTTTGTACCGGCCTTCTCCAAGTACCGGTGACTTCCCAGCAATCCATGGTCCACCTCCATGGTTTCTTTATGTACATGAGTTTAATTATGTTCTCCGCGGCCGGATCATCAGCATTAGAGTCCCATTTTGGAAACATTTCAGCCATGCCCTTCTCAACAAAGTTCATAGCACTAATCTGCAGTAAATAGAAGATATAAACTTAGATATTTGACGGATTAAGAAATATGGAAAGAAAATAATTCGCAGAAAAACTTATGATTAAGTTGTCTGGAAAGTCATCCAGCTGGATGACTTAGCAGACGACCTCTTTTTAAGTCATCTGCTAACTTAGACTCCTTCAGCTCTTCATATTCTTCATCATTAAGAGCATCCCTTAGAGCAGTATACAACTTCAAAGACGGATGATACGTAATGCTATGCTGAGCTCTAGGCTCTTGCCCTAGTGTATGTAACCTACGGGGGAGTTCGGGAATATTCTGCAAAAAAATCAAAGAAAACCATCTCAAACACACAACCATCCAGTATAACATTTTAATTATAAGTCTGGAAGACTTTCCAGACGACTTATAACTAAGTCGTCTGTCAAGTCTTCTAGTCGAAATACTTATAATTAAGTCGTCTGGAAAGTCTTCCACCTGGAAGACTTTCCAGACGACTTAATATAAGTCTACCAAGACTTCCAGTAGAACATTTGAAAGCTGACCTGACAATTCGGAGAAGATGTACTCGCCTTCGACATAGCGGTTATAGAACTGCAAAAATAGACGTGAAAAAAGAAGCATGATGAGAACGACGGTAACCGTAAAATATCCCCAATCTTTGAAACCCTAATTTGAAATGAAAATAACCACAACATCCAACCTAACTAAATAACAAGTCGACTGAAATCCCCAATTTTTGAAACCCTAATTTGAAACCAAAATTTCCCGAAATCATTGAAAACTCAAAACCAAACGGTAAAAGTAAAGGAAAACAACATCCATCCTAATAAAAACCCATTAAATCGGCAAGAGAAGCCTTCGATTTACCTTGGTCTTGTATAGGATCGAAATCGCCTCGAAATCGCCTCGAAATCACCTTTGAGAGAAACAGAGTTAGGGTTTTCTGAATTTCGCGAAAAGTGCGTAAAAAAAAAAATCTTCTTATATATGTCCGGTAAAAAATCCGGTTAGGTTTAAAAGTAATTCGGTAAAATCCGGTTTGGACGACTTATTATTAAGTCGTCTGTTGATACTATACATCCGACTAAGTCGTCTGCCTTATTAAATATATTTACCAGACGTCTTAATTATAAGTCGTCCAGACCCTAAACCCTAAACCCTAAACTAAATTGACTAAATTAACTACTAACCATGTTATAAAATCAAATTATACTTAAACAGAGTCTACTATATATAGAAATAAACACACTTTAGTAAATTTTTAATTTTTCAAAAAAACATTTATGCTTTCGAAAATCTGACCCTAAGAAACACATACAATACTACAACATATGTTGGCAAACCCAAAACCAAAGAATATCATCACTCACTACTTTCACTCATCTATGTTAAAAATAATTAAATTTTGTTCTATCTTAATTTATATCTCTTAAAACTGGTGTTAATTACATGNTCACTACTTTCACTCATCTATGTTAAAAATAATTAAATTTTGTTCTATCTTAATTTATATCTCTTAAAACTGGTGTTAATTACATGATTTCAATTTTTCACTTATCTAAATATTTTTTACAATTTTTTTAAATTATGTTTAAGAATAACTATACCAGACGACTTTCAACTAAGTCGTCTGGACGACTTAGTTTAAAGTCGTCTGAATAGAATACTTACGAGGTTAGACGACTAATAATTAAGTCGTCTGACAAATCTTCCGGCTGGATGACTTTCTAGACGACTTAAAATATTAGTCGTCTACAAAGTCGTCTAGGCTTTTTGAGTATGTTTTAAGAATTTGTGTTAGAATTTGTGTTACACTTCTTATACGACTAATAATTAAAATTGGTGTTACCATGGTTTGTACATAGAGGACAAAAGGAGTTGTAGTTATATAAGTTGATCATCCATTACAAGTCATAGGTTTAAAAACAATTTGAAACAAGGGAACAACACTATAGAAGTCATCCATTACAAGTCCATTAGAAGCAGATTACAATAAGACGATAGCAAGAAAAACATCCATCATTTAGGAAGAGACGAGGATGTTGAGGCACCATCCGCAGCATCATCCTCTTGAGTAGGTGTATACTGAATCACAGTAAAACTAGGACCGAAAGGAGTCACATGAAATACCATGTCTCCTTCCCTTTTGAACACGAGAATGTCACTGATGCAAAGGGAGTGTGCTTGGGCGAAGGCTTCCCAACCATCGGTGAGTCTTCTTCCTTCTTGTATAACTTCCCAAGTTTGGTGTGAAGCGTCCGATCGTAGTGTCCATTTTCCTTGGTTCGGCGTGCCTTCTATGTGTTTTGCGTAGAAGGCAAGTGGTATTTGTCTACAAGTCAACAAAGGAGAAGATAAGCAAAGGAAATAAACAGAGGAGAAATAGAGAGCGTGTGTATACCACGCCACTGTAGAAACCAGGAAGCAGAGGCTTCAATAAGTGAGGTTCATGCTGATTTGCCATCTGCAAACAAGAAACGAATTGGAAACATTTTAATTCTAAGTCGTCTGGGTCGTCCACCAGGTGGAAGACTTTCCAGACGACTTAATTATAAGTCTACCAAGACTTCCAGAAGAACTTCCAGGTGGACGACACTAAAATGACCGTAAAATGAGAGGAAAACAACATCCAACCTAACTAAACAACAAGTCGATTGAAATCCCAATTTTTGAAACCCTAATTTGAAACCAAAATTACCCCAAATCGTTGAAAACACAAAACCAAACGGTAAAAGTTAAGGAAAACAACATCCATCCTAATAAAAACCCATAAATCTGCAAGAGAAGCCTTCGATTTACCTTGGTCTTGTATCGGAGCGAAATCGCCTCGAAATCACCTTTGAGAAAAACGGCGTTAGGGTTTTCTGAATTTCGCGAAAAGTGCGTAAAAAAAAAATCTTCTTATATATGTCCGGTCAAAAAACCGGTTAGGTTAAAAAGTAATTTGGTAAAATCCGGTTTGGACGACTTATTATTAAGTCGTCTGTTGATACTATACATCCGACTAAGTCGTCTGCCTTATTAAATATATTTACCAGACGACTTAATTATAAGTCATCCAGACCCTAAACCCTAAACCCTAAACCCTAAACTAAATTGACTAAATTAACTACTAACCATGTTATAAAATCAAATTATACTTAAATAGAGTCTACTATATATAGAAATAAACACACTTTGGTAAATTTTTAATTTTTCAAAAAAACATTTATGCTTTCGAATTTCTAACCCTAAGAAACACATACAATACTACAACATATGTTGGTGAAACCTAAACTAAAGAATATCACCACTCACTACTTTCACTCATCTATGCTGAAAACAACTGACTTTTTTTATATCTTAATTTATATCGCTTAAGACATATGTTAATTACAGAATCCCAATTTTTCATTTATCAAGATATTTATTACACAATTTTTAAATTATTTTTAAGAAAAACTGTCCTAGACGACTTTCAATTAAATCGTCTGCCAAGACGACTTTCAATTAAGTCGTCTGCCAAGACGACTTTCAATTAAGTCGTCTGGGCATACGACTTACGAGGGCTAGAAACGTTAAAAAAACATTTTTTTTTGTTTATACACAAGGGGTTGGTTGTAATTTCAACAGTCTTTTAACTTACTTTTGCATTTTATTCAAATTTGGATTTACTTTTGCATTTCAAATCAAGTTTTGAGTACAATTTTTCCTATATATATATTTATTTATTTATTTATTTTTTGCTATTTGGCAAATAAGCCCTATAAAATACAAGTTGTCAAAAGAAGAAGAAAATCGTTAGTGTCGAAACGTACAAAGACTTGTTATTGCATGAGACTGGTAACCTTCAGACAAGAGCAGTGTCACAGAGAGAATGTGGAAGATAGCTTTAGGGAACGAAGCAATTGTTGGGTCTTTGACTCCATCGAACAAGAAATCGTACAAACTGACCAACAGGATTCAAGAAGGGAAGAAACCTTTGTACTCTGTTGCTTTCAACTTCATCGATCCTCGTTTCTTCAATTGTTTCGTCTCCGCTGGTGGAAATGGGGTATAAATAAAGATCTCTTCTTTTGTGAAATCTCCGTTAACGGTTTTACAGTTCTGTGTCTGTTAAATTATCATTTTTTCCTGTCTGGTTTTGGGTTTCTGATTGCTGTCCTGTGATGTTGTCGTATCATTTGTCCGAAAATATTGAAACTTTGCTTGATAGGTTCCTTTTCAAAGTGCAGACATACTTAGCTTGACTATGAACCGTTTAGCTATAAGATTTTTGGTGTTGGAGATTTTGTGAAAGTTCATAGCTTTTCTAATTGAACACTAGGTGGAGTGACTTCATCATATAATAAACTTGATGGGTCTATCTTGGTTTCACTTGACCTTTTACTGAGCGGAGCCATGACTCTCATTACTGCCATTGAGTTAATCTCTTATTATTGTGTAGATTAACCTGTACAACTGTCTTGAAGATGGTGGAATATCTTTATTGCACTCCTACGCTGATGAAGATGTAAGGAAGTATACATATTATATAGTTTCCATTAAATAAATAAAAAAAAGCAGCAAAGTTTCATTGAGGCTATATATTTTGGGTATGTATGTCTGATGTGCTTTGGTGATCAGAAGGATGAGTCATTTTACACTGTAAGCTGGGCGTGTGGCGTTGAAAGGAACCCATTTGTTGCGGCTGGGGGAGTGAAAGGCATAATCCGAGTCATTGACGTCACTGATAAACTGATTCATAAGGTATTACTGCAGTTTTTTCATCAGCTTTAGACCGACATGTAGAATATATGGATGTTCTATGTATCCTACTAGCAAATGGTTCAATTTTTTTTTTCTTTTTTTTTTGTCACTCGTGGTTCAATTTCTTTCTTGTGTAATTTGTGCTCGCACGTGTGCAGACCCTTGTGGGCCATGGGGATTCAGTGAATGAAATCAGGACACATCCTGCGAAACCCCAACTTGTGCTTTCTGCTAGCAAAGTAATGTCTCTTCTCTCTATACTGCCCTGAATGTTCATTTATTTGGTTTGAGGTTTAAAAGCTCATACGTTTTGATTCGGATCAGGATGAATCTGTTCGCTTGTGGAATGTTGAAACTGGGATTTGTGTACTGATATTTGCTGGAACTGAAGGTCATAGATACGAAGTTGTTAGTGTGGTAAGTAAATATGGGTTTTAAACACAGTGGATATAAGATAATACAATCATGTGATACATATATATATATACACACATTTCGAGTATAACCATCTTATCTTGTAAATCTGTAGGACTTTCATCCCCATGATGAGTGCTGTTTTGTTAGTTGTGGTATGGACACCACTATTAAGATATGGTCAATGAAAGGTACAAGTTAAAACCCACCACACTTGAAAGGAACTTACTTTCTCTTACAGTTTGTATGATCTCTCTATTATTCTTTTTTTTGCTGCCTTCAGAATTTTGGACATATGTCGAGAAGTCATTCACATGGAATGAAGCTCCATCAAATTTCCCAACAAAATTTTTACAATTCCCTGTAAGTATTTTATTTTGCTTTGTTCTTGTAACAACTAGTGACGTACACATCTTGATGGAACATTACTTCTATGTGTAGGTGCATACAGCTTCGGTTCATACAAATTATGTTGACTGTAACCGTTGGTTTGGTGATTTTATTCTTTCAAAGGTTAGTCCAGGAGTCAATAATTTATTTGATTTGGTGGAATAAGCTAAAACCCCGAAAAGTTACTCTTGTGTTGTATCTATATATATATTTGATTTCAGAGTGTGGAGAATGAGATATTGTTGTGGGAACCACAAATGAATGACTCTCCTGGAGAGGTTAGAATCTCATATCTAAAGCCATATACAACAGTTAATTAAAGATGTTAAAGATTAAAGTTCTTTTGTGTTGTTGTTTCTGCAGGGTACTTCAGATGTTCTACTTAGATACCCTATTCCAAATTGCAATCTCTGGTTTATCAAGTTTTCTTGTGACCTCTCTCTCAATTATCTTTCAATAGGTAAAGCTATAATCTACATTAAACGATACATGAAACTTTTATTGTGAATTTTGTGAAACATTCTTGGTTGGTTGGTTGTTTGGACATCAGGGAATCAGAAAGGCAAGATTTATGTTTGGGATTTACAGAGTTGCCCTCCTGTTTTGGTTACAATGTAAGTTACTTTTAATTCTTTAAATACAAATGATTAAAGCTTCACTTTGGTGTCTTTGTTGTATTCTTGACATGATTCTCTGTTGCTATATAGTTTATCACACAATGAATCAAAGTCTGTGATCAGGCAGACCGCTATGTCCGTTCATGGAAAGTATATTCATCTTCTCTCTCTCACCAATGCTTATGACTCAGTAATTACTCCAAACAAAAAAATACAAAGCATTTGATTACTGACACACTCTGTTTCTTTCAATGACATTGTAGCACAATTCTTGCTGCCTCCGAGGACGGAACAATATGGCGTTGGGACTCTGTTACCAAAGTAGCAGAGTCTTTGTAGGAACTGATGATTGGAAGATATGCGATAACGTCACTTTGATGTTAAAACATTTATACACTACATTGTGTCTTTAAAACCTTTTATTGAGAGTGTTGTCGGTATTGCAAGAACCAGTTTCTTTCATAAGCTTCCTAGTCTTCAAAGCATTGTCCCAATCTTCATTAGCTGCATACACACTTGCCAGATTAACATAATTGACTGGTCTCTTCGGCTCCATACTCAGAAGCTGCGCCGCTGCTACTTTACCGAGTTGCACATTCCCATGTCGCCTGCACGCATCAAGAAAAGCTCCCCATGTTGATGAGCTAAGACTTGTAGTAATGCCATTTTTACTTCTCATCAGTTCATAAGCATCTTCCAAGTTTCCACCGCGTGCAAGCATATCCACCATGCAAGATAAGTGCTCTTCTCGAACTTTGATACCGTACTTGTTGACCATTGTATTGAGAATCTCCCACCCAATCTCTGTCTCTCCTGTGTGGCTACAAGCAGAGAGGAGAGCAAGAAACGTGACGTCATTGGGTTTGATCCCTTCATGCTCCATTATGTTGTAAAGACCAATTGCTTTCTCTATATTCCCATGTCTTCCATATCCTGAAATCATAGAGGTCCATGATCTCACATCTTTCTCTTCCATCTCTTCGAAAGCAAGGACTGCATCCTCAATGACCCCAGACTTTGCATACATATCTATCAGAGAGTTACGCAAAGCAACATCGAATCTGATTTGGGAGGATTTTAAGGAGAAGCAGTGGATCTGTCTTCCAATGGAGATTGATGCAATGGTGGTGCATATTTTAAGCAGTGAGGATACTACAACCTCGTCCATCTTAGTTTTCATTAGTATCATTTCCTTGAAGGTATCAAAAGCACAACTTGTGAAGCTGTTCTGTTGTGCAAAACCTGTTATTAAAGCAGTGCAAGATATCAAGTCTCCTTCCATCGTGCATTCGTACAGTTTCAAAGCATTTGAAAGGCTACCACACTTGGCATACGCAACGATCAGAGACCTAACCAATGCAACATTTGATCTCTCGAGGCCAAGCTTGATCGAAAAGCCGTGTAATTCACTGATCATTTCAAGACGGTTAACTTCAATAGAAGCTCTCAAGAGGTTCCCAATGGTATAGCAATCTGGCTTCTTCCCTGACACAGAGAACACAGGACAAGAAGATATCTAACCAAATTGAGTTACTTGATCATGTATGAAGAAAAGACAAAGAGAATATAGCTTACCTTCAGTGAGAAACAACTGAAACAGACCAAAGGTTAAGGAAGCATCTGCAGTATACCCATCGATCATTATATTCCACGAAACCAAATCTCTTACTACCATTGAATCAAACAGAAGACGAGCATCCTCCATCTTACCACACTTAGCATAAAGAGAAAGCAATGCACTCCTCAAAACTAAGTTCTCTGCAAATCTCCCTTTCTCCACACAACCATATCTGCATCCCTTCTTTTAGACATCCCAAATCTTTACACGACTTCAAAACACTCCCGTAAGTGAAGTCATTAGCCCTAACAGGCTCCCCACGCATCTGTTTGAACAACAACAACGCGCTCAGGTGATATCCACTTCGAGAATATCCTGAAATCATAGCTGTCCAAGAACCAACATCTCTTTTAGGCATTCTATCGAACAGATTACGTGCGCGTATCAAATCTCCATGTCTTGCGTACAAGTTCATCAAACTGTTGTTCAACTGAAGATTCGAGATGAACCCATTGTCACGGCGTTGCCATGGATCAACACAAACTGTTTCTCTAGGCTTTCGCACCTGCATAATTTGAGAGCCTTGAGGTACAAGGAAGGGTCTAATAAGTATGGTTTCGAAACAATTAGATTCTCCACACAAGCAGTTATCATTATTCACAAACAGAGATTGCATCTAAATTACACGTAAAGTTTATCCCTTTTACATCAATTACAAGAAGAACGTACACACACAAAAAAAAACAAGAGTAAAGTGGGTGTAAAACCATAAAAGTGTCGATAATTAGGCATGTGCCATAAACAGTATGAGGAGTAGGAAGTAGTATAAACCGGCGTTTTGGCAATGACGGAAATGGCCTTTTCGTTTGCGAAATTGAGTCGAGGAGGTGTAGGTATCTAGGGTTTTTAATGCTAGGATTTTATTTAGATTTTCTTTAGATTTTCTGAAGATATTATTTCATCGGTAAACAAAATCTACAAACAGTGACTAGAGAGATGTTCCCGTCCATACGATATCACCCAAACGGCGCATGCCAAAATTGAGTATGCACCTCTAAAGCTGCTTCCTCTATTTACAGAAAATGTGTAAGTATACATTTGTATAGTTCTTGACCTTTTGTCCGTCTATAAATGTGAGGAACTTTACCAGAAAAAACTTGAGAAACAGAGAGGTAACTTACCAGTCTAAGAAGAAGCCTCATAAATACTCTGTGTTTCGCAAGCATTAACCGGTGAAGTCAGCTAATCGTAACTGTAAGTAGTTATTGTACGATGTCTATTTTTCTTAAATCCAAAATATTCTTGCGCATTCAATACGCTGAAGCTGTGAATGATTCACCATAAATACGTTTGTATGATACACCATAAATACGATTTTAGTAGTAGGTATAGATAATGTTTACTACTTAACTTTTATTTTTGTGTAAATCACCATAATAGCGATTGTCAATACCACTTATGTAAAGTTTAAGTGTGTGTTTTTTTTTCGTTTCTCATAGTCTTTTAAGGATTTGCAGAGTAAATACTAACTTTCCCTTGAACTGCAGGAAATGGGAAGACTCTTTCGGGTTTTTTCGTGGAGATTGGAAGAAAAATCGCAATGATCACTGGCATTTTCTCCCCACCCCCGAAGATGTTGGGTGGACCATGTATGTAGAGGATGACGGAAACTATGCCGTCATTCTAGGTGCTATTAGGGAAGTGTATGGTTTAAATGAGGAAACTCCTGTCGTAATCTCGTATGGATTACCTGAGTGGATGCTTTTCCCCCACGGAAACATACCCCCACGACCATTTCCAACAATGATGATATGCAGCGTCTATTAAAGGAGAGGACATGGCTAACAGATGTTACACTTCTTGCCACGATTGGTGCTAGAAGCGTGGCAGAGTACAACTTCCTACGTCGTTCCAACTTCTCCATTGGGGCAACAACATATGTTGTAGATGGTACACATGACGGGAGATCGGGGGCAATATCTGACGGTGTGTGATACAACAACATGTTTTGATTTTACTAAATTTTACTACAACATTATTTTGGTGTATTGAGCTAGGTAACCACTTTTTGCAGGTATGCTATTTGGAGAAAGGCTCATGACAAGTACTAGTGTTATGTGGGAAATATTTGGAGAACATGAGATGCAACTCCTCTATAGAGTTGCGCTAGAGCTGCAAAATGTTGACAGGGGTATGGATCTCCATCCCGTAACTGTCGTTCAGCAGCGTATTGAAGTAATACGCATTGATGATGACGACGAGATGGTGGATTCTGCTGACTTTGGAGCTATAAACACACAGACTTTGGCCGCTTCTGGTGAGTTCCTAGGAAAAATCCTTTATAATATTATTTACAAGTAAAGAATATAATACAAAATAACCTTTACTATTCAAAATGTTTAGGAGGAGCAAGTACAATCTCAAACCAAGTAGTACCAGTCAATGCTTCCCAAGCCCCCTCTGTCCTCTAGGACGTGGGAGTAGACCTTTTCGGAGTATCCCGGATTCATTGATTGCGACGAGGAACCAGGCGCCGATATAGATGAAACTGAATTCTGGAGGAATTTGATTGAAGAGGAGGAGGCTAAGGAAGCTGCTGAGTTGGAGTCGTACGCAGGTTGGTGTGATGACAATGGTGCAATACCGACAACTGGAGAGAGTGTGGAGGCTGAAAAGGTTGCTGAGTCATCTACGGGATCTACTGCTTTTCACTTGTCTCCATATGGTGGCGGAACACCCACTCAGGCTAAAGAGGTGGGAGAAGTTAACTCTAAGGCTTCGTGTTTCGAAGGAAACAAGGCTGCATCTGCAATTATTGGAGGTATTAAGCATCTCAGAAACGTGTTCCTAAAATTTTGTGTGATTTTTTGTAGACTAATCCTTTCCTCGCGTCAGAATCTGTTGTTCAAGTCCAGCAACCAAATACTGCTCCCGGAAGCAACGCAGGTAAAAACCTTAGAAAATTAATGCATTTGTAAATGTTTGCTTGTATAATCTGAAATTTTGTTGATGTCTTCATTGTTTTTTGACACTGGCACAGATTCCGTTAGCCATGTCCCACTGTACTCATTGCAGCCTAGCCAGACTGTCCCATCTATTCCTCCCGTGTCAGCAGCTCCTACCTCGAGCCTCTGCTCCATTGTTCCAGAAGTTCCAGTAACTCATAAGGAAGCACCACCGCTGGTGATGTCTGAGAAGGCAAAGGAGAGTTCTTCAGAATGTTCCCACTCTGATGGTGGGTCTTAATCAGTGCGGGTTGGAGACTTTTAAAGCGCTTGTATAATATTTATCTTTTAAGTGTTGTTGTGGGAAGTTTTTGTTGGGCGGTTAGAGTAATGTTTAGCCATAGATGACGGATTTTGTGTGGCTAAACCTTTCCCTAACCGTCTGTTATCTTTATTTACCGGTTAAGTTATGAATGTGGTGAAAGGGTGTCTGGGGCATGGTGTAGACAGTTATACTTGGGTTTGTTTTTCGTGTAGGTTTTTGTGGGGCAACCTTGTTGTAATCGTGGTTATATATATGAAAAAGTTGACATTGTAAAAATAGCAGCTCCTCATCTACTTGTACGAAAACACTTCTGTAAATGGAATGACCTCTTAAAAACTGATGTAATTGTGGTTAGTGGGCAAATTTAAACAAACTGGTTCTTGATAATTTTACAGGTGAGGACGGTGAACGTGGCGTTGACCTGTCAGTAGGAATGATGTTCCGTAACAAAGAGGCTTTCAAACATCACATGGCAGTGTACGCGATTGAGCACAAATTTTGCTTTCGATCTCCGAAATCCTACCGTTTTTTAATGATCCTTGTGTGCCAAGGGACCGGATGTCCATGGCGTGTCTATGCTGCACGCCTGAAAGACTGTGACATTTTCGAAGTAAGGAGGTTCTCCAGCAAGCATTCATGTTCAACTAACGTTAGAGGGGGTTACCAAAAGCAAGCAACTTATGTCGTCGTGGGAGAAATCATGAAGACAAAATTTGGTGGGGTTGGTGGAGGACCTAGACCAAGAGAGATAAGGCGTATGATGCGTGGAGATCACAACGTTGGTATTTTGTACTGGAAAGCATGGAGATCTCGTGATCTGGCCGTTGATAACAGCCATGGGACGTGCAACACTTTGTATCTTCATCTCCCCTATTATCTCGATGCACTTAAGGCGGCTAACCCTGGTACAGTTGCGGCATTACACACTGAGAGTAATGATCAGGGTGTGCAGCGGTTCAAATATATGTTTCTGGCTATGGGAGCTTGCGTGAGGGGGTATGAGTTCATGAGGAAAGTAGTTGTTGTTGATGGAACTCATCTAAAAGGCAAGTACGCAGGCTGTCTTCTCACAGCATCAGCGCAAGATGGAAATTATCAAATATACCCATTAGCTTTTGCAATTGTGGACAGCGAAAATGACAGTTCGTGGGAATGGTTCTTCGAGCAACTTTCGGCATTTGTGTCGAACGAAGATGGACTGGTGGTGGTTTCTGATAGGCATACATCCATTTTCAAGGGAGTTGGCAAGGTTAATATAAGTTATAGAGGTCTACATAATTACGTTATTAGCCGCTTATTTAATCTAGTTTACGTTATTTATTAATTATGATCTAAATCTCTTGTACCAGGTTTTCCCTAAAGTCGGGCACTGTGTCTGCGTTGTCCACCTGAAGAGGAACATAAGATCAAACTTCAAAGGGAGGCATTTAGGTTACCTTGCTGCGAAAGCAGCACGTGCCTATCGTTTGGAAGATTTCTACAAAACGTTTAATGAGATTAAACTAATGGACCCTGCTTGTGCGTCCTATCTGATGGAATTAGGATTCCATCATTGGGCTCGATCCCACTTCAATGGTAACCGATTCAACATAATGACGAGCAACTTGGCGGAGTCGTGGAACGCGGTATTGCGTGAAGCGAGGGAGTTTCCTATTATTCCATTGGTAGACTTCATCAGATCGAAATTAATGACTTGGTTTGCTAGTAGGCGGGATGCAGCAAATAAGAACGGTGAGATCTTAACTCCCCGGGTTCAGAGAATTGTCACAAAGAATTTTGAGTTAACTGGCGGTTATGAAGTTCTCGAGATTGCTGATAAAGAGTATGAAGTGCGTAACAAGAAGGGGTAGCTATCACGTCAACATTGGGACCAACAGTTGCAGTTGTTTTGAGTTTCAGATGTTGTCAATTCCATGTTCTCACGCAATTGGTGCTGCATTGAGCGCCAACATCGAAATCAATACACTAGTGATGGAAGCATACAAGGTTAGTTCTTTACGAGGTGCTTATGGTGGATGCATAGCTCCCGTCACTGACTATACCTCACTCATCGACCTCCCAACGGCTTTCCCTGGAATAAGGTTGTCCCCACCGGCTACTCGGCGTCCCCCTGGAAGACCCAAAAAGCTGCGTTACTTTTCTCGTGGCGAGAAATTGGTATGTAGTTTATTCACACAAGTTAGATACTGGTTTTATTACCAGGGTGGGTGCACGGAATGTCTCAGTGATTATTTAATTGTTGATTTCCAGGTGAAGTCAATTCGTAGGAGGGTTGCATGCAGCAGGTGCAAGGCGCTAGGGCACAACAAAGCGACTTGCAAGAACCCAATATAAGGCAACCTCCTTAAAATAAATGTACGGAGAGAATAACGCAACGGGTGACTGTATGAAATGAAGGTTTGACAATGGACGGGCAAAACTCAGTGATGTAAAATTTCAGTATAGCCAGTTCGTTGTGGGTATGTAGGGGATTTGTGATAGCGTTTGTAATGATAAATAAAAGTTTCTCCGTATGACTATTAATGAAGCCATCAGGCTGTCTTGATTTCCCTTATACCGGTATCAACATATGTAGCCTATGAAATATGTTTGTAGCCAGCTAACCTTAATCTCTAGAAATCCTTCCCGGAGTTTAAATCTAAACAAGAACCCCTCCCAATGGATGAGTCAACCCATGGGCAAATATTTCATTTACGTAGGTTTCGATTTCGAAAAAGTAACTGTAATTTCTAGAATCTCAACATTGGAAGACCAAACTTACGATTTTAGCAATGCATCCAAGATAGCCGGCTAAACCTAATTATGTCCGCACAAGTTTGCGTAGATACATTAAAACAGACTAGGTTAGATGCCCAGGGTCTAAAATATGTGAAGCGTCTTAGCCGGATATTTGGTACTATAGCCATATAATTAGTTTTATGCAATCTAAGGAGAATTCATAGATCAGAGTTCAGTGTATGGGGTTTGGCAATTTGGGTTTAGTTTTTTGTTTAGGGTATATATCACAGAGATTATGACTATGTTTAGGTTTAGTTTCTCTGTGATATATACCATAAACAAAAAACTAAACCCAAATTGCCAAACCCCATACACTGAACTCTGATCTATGAATTCTCCTTAGATTGCCATAAAACTAATTATATGACTATAGTACCAAATAGCCGGCTAAGAGGGTTCACATATTTTAGTCCCTGGCCATCTAACCTAGTTTGTTTTAATGTATGTACGCAAACTTGTGCGGACATAATTAGGTTTAGCCGGCTATCTTGGATGCACTGCTAAAATCCTAAATTTGGTCTTCCAATGTTGAAATTTTATAAATTACAGTTACTTTTTCCGAAATCGGAACCTACGTAAATGAAATATTTTCCCATGGGTTGACTCATCCATTGGGAGGGGTTCTTGTTTAGATTTGAATCCGGGAAGGATTTCATTTGGGAGTTTAGGTTTTCATCCAAAAAAACTTTATGAAATTTGCTTATCATAGATCACGCAGCCCATAGGAGATTACCTCTTAAAAATCAGGGGTACTTGATAAGTAGACCTCCCCGGAGTTCAAATCTAAACAAGAACCCCTCCCAATGGATGTGTCAACCCATGGGAAAATATTTCAATTATGTAGGTTTCGATTTCGAGAAGGATTTCATTTGGGAGTTTAGGTTTTCAGCCAAAAGTATATTTAAGTACTCAGCGAATAAGAGATGACGCGTCTTAGCCGTCTAAACATAATTACGCCCGTACATGTTTGCCTAGATACATTAAAACCGACTAGGTTAGATGCCCAGGGACTAAAATATGTGAACCGTCTTAGCCGGATATTGTGTACTATAGCCATATAATTAGTTTTATGGCAATCTAAGGAGAATTCATAGATCACGGTTTACTGTATATGGATTGGGCTTTTGGGGTACCCCTGATTTTGAAGAAGTAATCTCCTATCATGTACCCCTGATTTTTAAGAGGTAATCTCCTATGGGCTGCGTGATCTATTATACGCGATTTTCATAAACTTTTTTTGGATGAAAACCTAAACTCCCAAATGAAATCCTTCCCGGAGTTCAAATCTAAACAAGAACCCCTCCCAATGGATGAGTCAACCCATGGGCAAATATTTAAGTACTCAGCGAATAAGAGATGACGCGTATTAGCCGTCTAAACATAATTACGTCCGTACATGTTTGCCTAGATAAATTAAAACCGACTAGGTTAGATGCCCAGGGACTAAAATATGTGAACCGTCGTAGCCGGATATTGTGTACTATAGCCATATAATTAGTTTTATGGCAATCTAAGGAGAATTCATAGATCACCGTTAACTGTATAGGGTTTGGTCTTTTGGGGTACCCCTGATTTTCAAGAGGTAATCTCCTATCATGTACCACTGATTTGTAAGAGGTAATCTCATATGGGCTGCGTGATCTATTATACGTGATTTTCATAAACTTTTTTTGGATGAAAACCTAAACTCCCAAATGAAATCCTTCCCGGAGTTCAAATCTAAACAAGAACCCCTCCCAATGGATGAGTCAACCCATGGGCAAATATTTCATTTACGTAGGTTTCGATATCGGAAAAAGTAACTGTAATTTCTAGAATTTCAACATTGGAAGACCAAATTTAGGATTTTAGCAGTGCATCCAAGATAGCCGGCTAAACCTAATTATGTCCGCACAAGTTTGCGTAGATACATTAAAACAGACTAGGTTAGATGGCCAGGGACTAAAATATGTGAAGTGTCGTAGCCGGCTATTTGGTATCAAAGCCATATAATTAGTTTTATGGCAAGCGAAGGGGAGTTCATAGATCAGAGTTTAGTGTATAGGGTTTGGCCTTTTTGGGTTTAGTTTTTTGTTTAGTCATAATCTCTGTGATATATTACCTAAACAAAAAAATAAACCCAAAAGGCCAAACCCCATACACTAAACTCTGATCTATGAATTCTACTTAGATTGCCATAAAACTAATTATATGGCTATCGTACCACATATCCGGATAAGACGCTCCACATATTTTAGACCCTGGGCAGCTAACCTAGTCGGTTCTAATGTATATAAGCAAACTTGTGCGGACATAATTATGTTTAGCCGGCTATGTAGGATGCACTGCTAAAATCCTAAATATGGTCATCCAATGTTGAAATTCTAGAAAGTACAATTAGTTTTTCCAATATCGAAACCTAAGTAAATGAAATATTTCCCCATGGGTTGACTCATCCATTGGGAGGGGTTCTTGTTTAGATTTGAACTCCGGGAAGGATTTCATTTGGGAGTTTAGGTTTTCATCCAAAGAAAGTTTATGAAAATCGCGTATAATAGATCACGCAGCCCATAGGAGATTACCTCTTACAAATCAGTGGTACATGATAGGAGATTACCTCTTGAAAATCAGGGGTACCCCAAAAGACCAAACCCTATACAGTAAACGGTGATCTATGAATTCTCCTTAGATTGCCATAAAACTAATTATATGGCTATAGTACACAATATCCGGCTACGACAGTTCACATATTTTAGTCCCTGGGCATCTGACCTAGTCGGTTTTAATGTATCTAGGCAAACATGTACGGACGTAATTATGTTTAGCCGGCTATCTAGGATGCACTGGTCTAATCCTAAATATGGTCATCCAATGTTGAAATTCTAGTAATTACAGTTACTTTTTCCGAAATTGAAACCTACGTAAATGAAATATTTGCCCATGGGTTGACTCATCCATTGGGAGGGGTTCTTGTTTAGATTTGAACTCCGGGAAAGATTTCATTTAATTAGTTCTATGAAATCCTTCCCGGAGTTCAAATCTAAACAAGAACCCCTCCCAATGGATGAGTCAACCCATGGGCAAATATTTCATTTACGTAGGTTTCGATTTCGGAAAAAGTAAGGGTAATTTCTAGAATTTAAACATTGAGCAGTGCAACCTAGGTAGCCGGCTAAACATAATCCCAAAACCCTAAACTCTCAATTAAAAGTATAGGCTTTACACATGTAAAGGTACTTCCATGTTATCAACATTTTTTGAATATATTTAGGATATGAATAAAACACAATTGTCCCTATACTACTATATTTAGGATTATGAGGACCAATGAACTCGTTTAAGTCGGGTGCCTTTGGGCATTTGCATATTATGCTATTTAGTCGGACATTTCTTATTATATCGATCCATTTAATGATATTGGAAGGTAAACAATAAATCTTCCCAAAACTGTCATTATACGTTACAAACTTATATAACCATCCATCGAAACTTTTAGCTAGTTAATCGAACTTGAAATATTCTCCAACGATATCCAAGTATTTGATAGTTTAGAACGATTATTTACGTCCGTGTAATCAGGCAGCCCGGGTAATTAAATAATGTACCGGTTATGTTATTTTCAGGAACATAAACAGAGTGTTAGATCTACGACAACTCGTTAGGATTTTTAACAACAAAACAAACCCGGTGAAGGAAATACACCAAAAGCTTCAATTATTTGGGTAACTAATAAAAACATGAACCATGCAAATCAGACACACGAATCCTAAACAGATTTCTTATTTCTCGGACATGCTGATGATGATTGATGTGGCGGCGAGAAATCCTCCCCAGGAAAGTAACAACAATTGTCGTAACACAGCCTCTCTCTCGCTCGCTATCAATGCATGTGTCTGGAGGTGTTGATTCTCCGCCGACTGGTTAACTTCAACCTGGGTCATGCCCAAATTTTCGTCTGAGTCTGTTGTAATTGTGTCATTTTGAAGCTTTAGAGCCGCGATTTGAGATTGTAATTTTTGAATTTCACACCGCTGCCGCTGTATTAGGTCTCGCGCTTCCAGCAGACTTGCCTTCTGCCAACCATGGGGCTCCTCTTCATCAAACCACAACCAAAAACTGTGTGTAGTGCATCGGAAAAAACGTCTCCCTGGATTGTCGTCTGTCCACGACTTCAACAGTTTGGTAGATCTCCCACATCGGCAGGGCGGTCTGATTGAACCGATGTCGTTGATGTGTGTCCCAGATGTTGAAACGCCTACAGAAGCCTCCGACGACTGCATATCGATAGAAAGAGGGAACACGATATGAGAGGATAGAAGTTGATGGATGACGGCTAGGGTTAGAAAACTCTAATCCTTTATATAGTAGATTCAGGATGTGGTGGTTAAACCCTATTTATCAAACGTGTTAAATGAGTAATTTTGACAATGTCTGCCTTATATTTGTGGAATAAATGGCCGGCTAATGTTTCAATGTATGTCGCTATCGATGTAGCATATGACAAAGGTAGCCGGCTAAACATATGTTACGCAATTAATAAACGTGCATGTCGCAAATAATCTACTTATCTGGCTATTGATTCACGTCTGTTATTGTTGACGTAGAGTATGACCAAGTTAGTCGGTATTGCGTAAACTGCTCAATTTAAAAACGTACAACTTACCAATAACCAAGTTAGCCGGGTAATGTTTCAACGTGTGTTACTATAGATGTAATATAAGACCAATTTAGCCGCCTAAAGAATATTTCAATTCAAGAACGTGCATATTACAAGTACCCAAGTTAGCAGGCTAAGTTATACAATGAAATACAAGAAACATCTATGGATACCGAAACACCTTTTAATAACATAATCACCAAAGTTTTACGAGACAGAAGGAGGAATATTAAAGATCGTGCATCATACGTTCGTTGACAAACACAAAGGCATAATGTAAAGGAGTTTAATGACATAGAACAATTAGGGTAAAATAAATAAACAGCTCATAATGCTCCGACGTTTCCTTCATAAAGAGTCACGGCGAGTCGCTCAACCTCGGTGTCAAGTACATCTGCTGTTATGGTTTTGCATGCATCAAAACCACCCACGGCGTGAGCTTGGATAAACAGAAGTGCTGCAACAGCTGAGTCTAGGAGAGTGTTACATTGTGGTAAATTACGGGGCCTGCCAATTGACATGGGTTTTCCATCCTTGGAGGCGACTTGTTTACCCAGCTGATTCGCAAAGTAAGGAAACATCTGTGCCAGCGGCTTGACCGCTTTACTCATCATGTAGTCTGACTTAACTGAAACGTTGCTATCCAAAACGCAAATTGCCCAGCTACTCATATCAACGCATAATCCTACCCAGTACTTATTCTCGATATTGAACGGGCAGTAGAATCGCTCAGCTTTGAGGAACTGAGCTTTTTGTTCACCATCAGGTTGGACACTGTCGGGAAAGTGGAAGCTTTCTTTCTTGGTCACCTCTGAGAAATCGGGGTATGCCTTTAAGAGTTCATCAACCACGTTACTGGCCATAAAGATAGATGTGCTATGCTGGTTTGGGTGAGAGTTACACCTCCACAGTACACTTATATGGGACATGAGCGCATCAACAACCTGCATGGTCGCAACTAGGGACATTTTGAGTACCAAGATTAGGAGATTGTAGATGTACTATCTATGCTGGTATCACAGAAACATATGCCGTATATATACCTTAGCAGAAGTGGGGGTAGATCTGTCGACAATTTGACGCAGCTCATTGCTATCTAGTGTCCATCCATCATTCACTATAGAACTGTTGAAGAAATGTAATATAAATACGTTAGCCGTCTAACCCACAGTAATAGTACTACTCTTCTAACATAATTTTGGAAACTAAGAAGGTAAAATTAGCCGTTCATGAAAGAGTTTGGTCAACTTACAATGGTGTTTCCATTTTATCTTCAAGAACAGAGAACTTGGCTGAGAAGCCAATGTTCCCTCTTGTTGGGGTCAAAATCGGTACGACGGAATCAATAGCCAAAATTCCCCGCAAACGCGTAAACGCAACAGTTTTATGAATCTCGAGAATCATTTTATAAAACTCAAGAGATCGTTTTATAAAACTCCTGGATCGTTTTATAAGAACTCGAAGATCGTTTTATAAAACTCAAGAGATCGTTTTATAGAACTCGAGAGATCGCTTTATAAAAACTCGAAGATCGTTTTATAAAACTCGAGAAATCGTTTTATAAAAA